CTCCTCCTCGTCCTCCCGCTTCTCGTCGAGCTTCCGCTTGGCTCTTTGCCCGCACCGCTGCAAGCCGGTGCAGGTGGACCTGCGTGCCGCTGGTGCACCCTGGGGAGGGGGCAGGGCGTCGTCGGGAAGCTCTGGCACGGCCCGCAAGTGGAAGGCCCTTCGGGAAGTGCACGACTCCGTGAGCACCTGGCGGGGGGGGCCAGTCCGGCCTGGCCCGCAGGGTGGAGGCTTGTCAAGAAGAGCACGACTCCAGGAGCACTTGGCAGCCTGGAAGGGGTGCCATCGGCGTCACCCCAGCATACGAATACCATGTGCGCACACCTCTCGGGAAACGATCTACTACATGAGTAGTATACTATGTGTTCGGGTCGGACGCGCACCTCCGAGGAGAACATACATTAAAAGTTCCCAACCATCCTGTGGTGTTGGGTCGTCGTTTTGAAGAGACAGCGCCCCGCGTCTCACCTCCTCCCGCTGCCCCCTCCCTCCTCCCCCTCCTCCCTCCTCCCATCCGCCTCGTCATCATCGTCGTCATCGTCATCATCGTCATCATCATCGCCATCGTCATGATCCACATCATCATAATCATCACTATCGCCATCGTCAGCGCCGCGCCCCTCACACGGTTCGTGGCGCCACAGGGAGCTCCACCGAAGGCCAAAGTGGCAGCGGTTGCATGCGTCACCGCCGCCCCATTGTGGCACATCCCTCACACGGTTCGTGGCCCCATAGGGAGGTCCACCGAAGGCTTCAGCTGGAGCGTCCGCATGGCACCGCCGCCCCATTTCGGCACACCCCTCACACGGTTCGTGGCCCCATAGGGAGCTCCACCGAAAGCCCCAGCGGGAGCGTCCGCACGGCACAGCCGCCCCATTTCGGCACACCCCTCACACGGTTTATGGCCCCATAGGGAGCTCCACCGAAGGCCCCAGCGGGAGCATCCGCAGGGCACCGCCGCCATATTTTTGCACACCCCTCACACGGTTCGTGGCCACATCCAGCGGGAGCGTCCGCATGGCACCGCCGCACCATTTTGGCACACCCTTCACACGGTTCGTGGCCCCTTCACCGAAGGCCCCAGCGGGAGCGTCCGCATGGCACCGCCGCCCCATTTTGGCACGCCCCTCACACGGTTCGTGGCTCCATAGGGAGCTCCGCCGAAGGCCCCAGCGGGAGCGTCCGCATGGCACCGCCGCCCCATTTTGGCACACCCTTCACACGGTTTATGGCCCCATATGGAGCTCCACCGAAGGCCCCAGCGGGAGCGTCCGCATGGCACCGCCACCATATTTTTGCACACCCTTCACACGGTTCGTGGCCACATAAGGAGCTCCACCGAAGTCCCCAGCGGGAGCGTCCGCATGGCACCGCCGCCCCATGTCAGCACACCCCTCACACGGTTCGTGGCCCCATAGGGAGCTCCGCCGAAGGCCCCAGCGGGAGCGTCCGCATGGCACCGCCGCCCCATGTCGGCACACCCCTCACACGTTTCGTGGCCCCCGGAGGGAGCTCCATCGAAGGCTCCAGTGGGGGCGTCCGCATGGCACCGCTGTCCCATTTCGGCGCACCCTTCACACGGTCCGTGGCCACATAAGGAGCTCCACCGAAGGCCCCAGCGGGAGCGTCCGCATGGCACCGGCCGCGCACGGGGCTCGGGCGAAACCAAGAAGATTCCCCGCTCGCCCGCGCCAGCTTTTTTCCCCCTCATGCGCGCCGCAGTCCTTCTTGCTGCCCCCTACTCCTTCGTCTCCTCTCCCTCGCGATACTCGCAGCAGCGTATGGTTGGGTCCTTCGTCAGGCCAATCTGTTTTTGTGCGTCCCATGCCAGGGCGCGGGTGGGAAACTCCGGCCTGGTCCGCAGGGTGGAAGCGAAGCCTTTGAAGAAGAGCAAGACTCCACGAGCACCTGGGGGGCCAGGGCTTCCAGGGCGTGCTCGGAAAACTCTGGCCTGGCCCGCAGGGTGGAAGCCCTTGAAGAAGGGCACGACTCCACGAGCATCCAGGGTGGAGGGGCCAGGGCATGGGTCGGGAAATTCCGGCCTGGCCCGCAGGGCGGGGGTCCCAAGAACAGATGTCCCAGACGGTGGGGGGTGTCAGGATATGTGGGAGACATGGTGGTGGACAGGGAGCGGTTTCGGGCGAAGAATTGTTCGGCGGGGGGCTGCAAGAACAAGATCCAGGGGCGTGGGGGTGCCAGACGAGGTGGGGGTCAGGGTGGTCCACGAAGACACGCAGAGGCGCAGGGAAGAGAAGGACATCGCACGCGCCTCCGGGGTCGGTGGATTTAGATTCGCTGGGGCTCCTGGATTTTCCAGAGGCCTTTCCGGCGCGCTGGAGTCCTTCTTGAGCTTTGCTAGATGGGTCGGAGGGGGAGGAGGGGGAGGAGGGAGGAGGGAGGAGGGAGGAGGGAGGAGGGAGGAGGGAGGAGGAGGGAGGAGGAGGAGGAGGAGGAGGAGGAGGAGGAGGAGGAGGCGGAGGAGCACAACGGGCGTCTTGGAGATGGAGCTCCGCGGGGCGGGGAGGTGCGCCGGGGAGCTCGTGCCCCCCCCCCCTTCGATTTAGATGTGGGGCCCCGGAGGAGGGAGGAACGGGGACCGCCCCGAGGACCCCGAGAAAAGATGGGGAAACATGGGAAGTGGGGGGGAAGGCAAAGACCCAGAAGATGTGGGAACATATCGGGGGGATCCTGTTTTATCTGTATGTGTATTTCTTTGTGTGTCCCAGGGCCCCTGCAGTACAGGCCGCTTGCGCAACGCCCGGGAGGAACGGGGAGGGGGACCGCCAGATACCCCACGTACCTCTCGCCCCCGGGGCCGGCCCCATCTGCAACTCACCGCCCACCAGACCACCCCAACCCAACCCGAAGGCCTCGATCTGCCCTCCATCTCTGGTGCGGGGGGGGGGTCGGAGAACACTGAAAGACCGCATGGGACCAGTACCCCCCCCCCCACCCCGAAATTCGGGTCAAAGTCGGGTCTTCGGGTTGGTGGGCAGTCAGCAGCATGACCCGCGGGCCGAGCGATCACGAGGACGGCCCGCGAGGAGAGGGGACGGCTCCCCTGAGCAAGCTTGCGAGGGAGCACTTGCTCGGAAGCCGGGGGGCGCGGGGGGCGCTCGGACAGCGCCCTGTTTTGAGCACGAAGAAGGCCTCGTGCATTCCTGCACGGGGGGGCCCGAAAACAGACAGGCACCACCACCACCTCCCTCCCCCCCTCCCCCTCCCAGGAACGATGGAGAGGAAGGGGAGGGCAGAGGAGAGAGGAGGCGTCGACGTGGCGGTGGTGGTGTGTATTCTTCGGGTCCGTTGCACGCGGGCTCCGACAACAGCGATGCCCGAGGTCGGCACCGTCGCGTCGGGCTCTGGGCCAGGGCTGAACCCAAACGGTTCAGGAGGGGAAAACACACACAGACACAATTAATCCTCGATCCCCCAGAAAATATGGGAAAATATGGGAAGTGGGGGGGAAGACAAAAACCCAGAAAATATGGGAAAATATGGGGAATAGTTTTATTTGTGTGTATTTATTAGTGTGTCCTAGGGCCCCTTCAACCTAAACGGTGTTCTTGGTGATTCCGTGGGCCGTTTTCGTTTCGACTTCGTCGTCTTGCGGTAAGGGCGAACTCGAGACGAGCGCGAGGGCGAACGAAAACGAAGCGAAGACGAGGAGCACCGTTTAGGTTCAGCCCTGTCCTGGGCCGAGCGCTGGCTCGACTGGACTGCCCGCTGCCTGCACCTCTCGCACCCCCGGGGCAGGCGAGGGCCCGCGGCCCCCTCCTCCGCGCGCGTGCCCTTGGCGCCCTTCGAGCCGCGCACGCGTGATCGTCGTCGTCGTGGTCGTCGTCGTCGTCGTCTTCGTCGTCGTCGTCGTCGCTCGTCGCTCGTCGCGTCGCGCGCGCGGGCGCGGCTGCGGTGCCGGAGCCACACGGCGGGGGGGGCGTTACATCATCCCCCCCCTCGCCCCCCCTCCCCCCCATGACGCCCGTCATCGCCGAACATACAGAACCGCGCTCCATATACTCAGGAAGGGGAAAAAAATACAGACACAATGAATCGTCGATCCCCCAGAAAAGATGGGGAAACATGGGAAGTGGGGGGGAAGGCAAAGGCCCAGAAGATGTGGGAACATATTGGGGGGATCCTGTTATATGCAGGCCGCTTGCGCAACGCCTGGCGTGCGTTTTGCGGCGGGCCTCTGGCCCAAGTGCGGGGGCCCGCTCTCAGGGAGGAAGCCCCGGAACCGCCCTCGGAGCCCTGGTCGCACCCCCACGCTCCTCAGAGGAAAGTGACTTCTCATGTCTCGAAGAAGAGAGAGCGCCATAAACATACACATTGTTCATGTCTAATTCTTCGAAAGTTCTTTGATTCTTCGGGGGGCCACGATCCTTTCATTTCTAATTGCTCTATCCTGGGCCTCTTCCTGGCCACTAGGGGGCCAGGAACGATTAGAAACGAGAAAATTAGAAATGGGCACGATAAGAAATGAACGACGTGTAAACTTGTGGCACTCCGAACGGATTTCTTAGATCCGCGCTGGCGCCCCCCTGGCGGCGCCTCCGGCGCCGCTCCTGGCGCGCTCCGCGCGCCAGGGAGGGAGGTCCGGCGCGGATCCAAGAAATCCGTGCGGAGCGCCAAAAGTTTACGCTTATGGCGCTTTTCTTTTTCTGGGAAAGTGTACTCCAGATTGCTTAATAAGCGTGGGGGGGTGGATCGCGTGGGGGGTGGGCAACCGTTGTCCTTCGGGGGGCGCGGGGAGGGTGGGGAGCGAGAGGGGGTGGGTTTGAGGCGCGTCGGGGGGCGGGCAAGGGGCGTCGGACAGGTTGGCACGGGGGGGGGGGCTTATTGAAGGATCTGGGGTACTGTCATGTCGGCCCCAGGTTGCTCTCATGCGCGCTCCGTCTGTCCGCTCTCTCTCTCTCTCTGGCCAGCCACGCCTGCAGTGCGGGCGTCGCCGCAGGCGCTGCGTGCCTCGAGCCTCTTGCCTTCCCCCCCCGAGCCGCGAGGAGCAGGCAGCTGCAGGCGCGCCACTGAACCTCATCGATGCTGCGCAGCTGCAGGCGAGGAGCGCGGGGTGGGGCCGTCTGCTTCGAGCCGTTGGGGGCCTCAGGGTGGGCGTCCGATTGGGCGCTGCTTCCGGGCGGGCGTCTGATCTCACCGAGCGCAGTTCCACCACTCGCAGAGTGACGCTGCTCCCAGACGTCCAGAGGACAGCTCCTGCTCGAGGCAACGGAGCCCGTTTGCCTCGACGCAGTGAATCCAGGCCGCTTGCGAGTCGCCACTTTGCGAGCAGCGGAACGCGCTTGTCTATGATCGGGATGTCTTGAAGGGGGCGACGGGATCGACCCTGCTCTGCTCCGAGACCGCTTCTGAACTGGCGGTGTCACGTCCTGGTTCTTATCCAGTGTTTCTTGCCGAGAGAGGCGCCCCGTCCCACATGTAGAGGCGCGTTGCCGTGGAAGCTGGGCAAGCACGTCTGTGGTGACAGACGTCCGGGATGGGAGTGGTGAGGCAGCCGGCGCGAAGCAGGGCCTGGAATACAGAGGCTCGGCCACGGATAACTGCACCAGGTGCCCAAAACGGGTAAGAGCTCGTGGCGATGCCGTGTCCTCCACGTGGGGCGGATCGGAGCGAGGGATTGCTCTGTATCCGAAAACTTCTGCTACGGCAGAAGCCCGCCGAGGGCGCCGTTAGTGTCTTGCGGAGGCCCTGAATGGGCCTTCCTGAGCCGTTCTTGACCCACATTCTTGCGGCCTTCTGGGTCATTATGGCACGCAGTGTCGGCCATCGTCTCCGACATCCAGACGCACAAGATGTCGGGCGCTATCCCGCGGACTCGAGAGCGCCACGAGATATGATTGCCGTATTCTTCGGGCCCCAAAGAAGCATACAGCTTGTGGCGCTTCTCTTCCCAAGATGCAAGAGGCCCGCGACATGCAGCATCTTGCCTCCGCTATTGACCGTAACATGTGACAATCGATTCCTTACGGCCCAGATGGCCGCAGTGTGCGACAGCTGAGATGTTCTGCCTTTCTGGGAGTTCGCCTGAGGGCTCCTTTTATGCTTATTTGGCTTTCGTGGGAGCATGCTGAGGGCATTCGGGCCATACCTTGGACCATGGGACCCTTTTGTGGCCCGTCTTGGGACCCGTTTGGCACGTGAGCGGTACATCTTGGAGTCGTCTTGGGTCCTCATTGGCCGTCTGGAGCGTCTCTTGGGGAATCTTCTGCATTTGGCCGTCTCGTGGTCGTCTTGTGCCACCTTGGGGCCCTCTTGGCCCCTCTTGGGGCTGTACTGGGCACTTTAGGGGGATTCTTGGGGTTCTGATTTTCCCACTCTGGCCTTCACGGCCCTCTGAGAACCATCTTCAGTCTTCAGTCGAGAAGCCGGGAAACAAAACACATTCAACACCAAAGACATGTTCATTCCCCAATTATGTTTGCCTGAGGATATCTTTTGGAATCGGTTCGCTCATTCCACCTGCCCAAATTGTATGACTGCTGCTACATGTTGGCGTGCTCGTGGCCAGCGAGAAGGGAAGGGAAGGGGAAGGAGGCGTATGAGGAAGATCGGGTGATGAGGATGAGGCTTCTCGATTGCTTCTTGGGGCGTTCGTGGGGCCGCAGCCAGGGATGGGTGGGCGGCCACCTCTCTTTGGGAGGCTTCTTGGGGCCTCCTGGGAGGCCTCTCGGCGGCATCTTGGGGGGGGGGGTCTTCTGCGCCTCTGGGGGCTCTTTGGGGGCCTTGTTCGGGCCTGCTGGCGGTCTCGGGGGCCAGCTTCCGGGAGAGGGCTCGAAACGTCAGCTCGGACTCCCCCTCTTGGGGCCCTCTTGGGAGCCTTACCAGACTGGAACATATCCCTATCCCTATGCTGGGCATCTCCTCATCACGATGCCAATCTTAGGGATTCCCTTATTTTTTGAGGCCGCATCCATGAGATGGTCATCGCCTTTTGGCGTGTCAATCCTAGAGATAGGGATAAGTTCGAGGCTGGTAAGAGCCTCCCTGGATCGCTCACGGGGGAGGCCTCTTGGGCCGCCCTGAGGGCCTGCTCGGCCCTGCTGGGGAGCTCCGGCATCCTTGGGGAGACCTTGCCAGGGCACTTCTCCCAGGGCTCCCGCGAGGGCGCGAAGTGATTCGCGCTTCGCGCTTCGCGGTCCTCGTTCCCTCTCCCCCTCCTCCTCGTCCTCCTTTCTCCCTTTGGGGGGGGGGGCGGCGCGAGAGCGCGAAGTCATTCGCGCTTCGCGCTTCGCGCAGCACGAAGCGCGGAGTTGGGAGCCCTTGTTCTCGTCCGGGGGCCCCAGGGGCGGCCCCCCGCGCGCGCGAGCTCGAAGCGTTCTCGGCCCCCGTTGCCTCGGCGCGCCCGTTTTGGAGCGCAGCACGTGCCGTGCCGTGCTCAAGGCGTCCGCGTGGGCTCGGGCTCGGCTTAGGGGTTGCTCGGTCTTGGCTCTTGACTGCGCTCCTCGGGTTGCTCGGTCTTGGCTCTTGACTGCCCTCCTGGGGTTGCTCGGTCTAGTTTCTTGACTGCCTTCCTGGGGTTGCTCGGTCTTATTTCTTGACTGCGCTCCTCGGGTTGCTCGGTCTTGGCTCTTGACTGCCCTCCTGGGGTTGCTCGGTCTTCTTTCTTGACTGCCTTCCTGGGGTTGCTTGGTCTTGTTTCTTGACTGCCTTCCTGGGGTTGCTTGGTCTCGGTTCCTTGCTGCCCAGCAGTTCCAAATAATTCCAGGCAGTGCCAAACCGACGCCAAAAAACATAAGGCAGTGTAAATCATCGCCAATACATGCCAACCGACTTCAACCCATGCCATTCAATGACAAGCAACGCCCTGGCATCGCTCGGACGAGTGCATTTTTTCTCGGCGAGGGCCATCGAGAAGCATACTGGGCCATTCTGCGAAAAAAACACGCACGAAACCGAGAAATGCTCGGGGAATGGACGTCCTAGCGACGGCAGGACGCCAAGCAATGCCGATCAGCGCCAAGCAATGCCAAGCAGGGCCACGCCACGCCACGCCAAGCTCTTCCAGGGAATACCCAGCAAAGCCAAGCAGTGCCAAGCGATGCATAGCAAAGCAAAGCAATCCCCAGCAACGCAAACCAATGCAAATCAATTCGAACCAATGCCAAGCAATGCTGAGCAACGCCAAGCAATGTGACGCAATGTCAGTCAAAGCCAATCGATGCAAAGCAATGCCTTCCTTGCCTCTGGGAAGCTTTCCCCTAATTGGGGTCGCGCCGGGTTGATATGATTCCCCGTAGTTCTTCCTGGAGGACCCCGAATCTCCTCTTGGGCCCCCCTCTGGTCCACGTGAGGGTATCATGGGGCGCTGCTGGATGCATCTTGTGGCACTGCTGGGCCACGTGGGCGGCCTTGGTGGCCCTTCCTGGGCCGTCTTGGGAGCCCAGGAGGTTCCTGAAGAGCCCCAGGGAGGCGTCGGGGCCGCCCAGAGAGCCTCGGGAGGGGAGGGGGGGGGGATGCACGCGGAGAAGCGTGCCCCGAAGCGCCGCACAGAGGCTCCCGAGGGTGCCCCGCAAGAGGCCCCCAGACGGCCCGAAGGGAGCCCCAAGACGGCCCAAGAGGGCGCCCAGGCGGTCCAAGCATGTCCCCCCGAAGGGCCCCCACACAGGCCCAGGCAGTCGAAGAAGGCTGCAGGAGGCCTTCAAGAGTCTCCCAAGGGGCCTCAAGACAGCCCCGGACGGTCCCAGCAGCCCAAAGGGTAGCCCCCAGAGGCCCAAATGACCCCCCACTTCTTCCACGTCCTTCTCCTCGTGCTCCTCGCCCCCATATTATTATTCGTGTTCTTGTTAGTAGTCCTCTTATTTTCCTATTTTTGTCATGATAGCCTTATTTCCCAACCATCCTGTGGTGTTGGGTCTTCGTTTTGAAGGACGTCCCCCGCGTTCTCTCCTCCTCTCGCTCCTCCTCCCCCCTCCTCCTCCTCCTCCTCCTCCTCCTCCTCCTCCTCCTCCTCCTCCTCCTCCCCCTCCTCCTCCTCCACCTCCTCCTCCTCCTCCTCCTCTCATCATCAGCATCATCATCATCGTCATCGTCACCGTCATCATCAGCATCATCATCATCATCATCATCGTTCTTATCACCATCGTCGTCATCATCATCGCCGTCTCCATCATGGCCACACGTTTCGTGGACCCATAGTGAGCTCCACCGAAGGCCCCAGTGGCAAGGTCCGCATGCGGTTCCACCTCCATTTCGGCGCACCCCTCACACGTTTCGTGGCCCCATAGGGTGCTCCACCGAAGGCCCCAGTGGCAGGGTCCGCATGCAGTTCCACCTCCATTTCGGCTCACCCCTCACACGTTTCGTGGCCCAATTTAGGGAAGTCTCCACCGAGAGCCCCAAGTGTCGGGTCCGCATGCGGTTCCACCTCCATTTCGGCACACCCCTTCACACGTTTCGTTGCCCCATAGGGAGCTCCACCGAAGGCCCCAGTGGCTGCGTTCGCATGCCTCCCCACCACACATTTCGGCACCCCTCACACGTTTCGTGGCCCCATAGGGAGCTCCACCGAAGGCCCCAGTGGCTGCGCCCGCATGCGGTTCCACCCCCCATCGTAGCACCCCCCTCACACCTCACGTCACGCCATAGGGAGCGCCACCGAGGGCCCCAGTGTCATGGTCCGCAGGCGGTTCCACCACCCTCCATTTCGGCGCACCCCTTCACACTTTTTCGTGGCCACCATAGGGAGCTCCACCGAAGGCCCAAGTGTCAGGGTCCGCATGCGGTTCGTCCTCCATTTCGTCGCACCCCTCACACGTTTCGTGGCCCCATAGGGAGCTCCACCGAAGGCCCAAGTGTCAGGGTCCGCATGCGGTTCCACCTGAATTTCGGCGCACCCCTCACACGTTTCGTGGCCCCATAGGGAGCTCCACCGAAGGCCCAAGTGTCAGGGACCGAGGATGCGGTTCCACCTCCATTTCGGCGCACCCCTCACACGCTTCGTGGCCCCATAGGGAGCTCCACCTGAGGCCCCAGTGGCAGGGTCCGCATGCAGTTCAACCTCCATTTCGGCGCACCCCTCACACGTTTCGTGGCCCCATAG